ACGCGTTTTCCCTTGACCAAATTTTGACCGTATCACCCTTTAGACTTCAGAACACAAATGGTTTATTAATCAATTTCGTTGGTCTTAAATAGGTGGCCCTATGTTGCGCTTCATTGTGCATTTGCACGGGTTCTAATGGGGAGACTTCTGGAGCGATTTATGCTGAGGTCAGCGTGACAAAATAATCAATATTTTGCGTATAGAACTTAGTACTCAGCGATCGATTTAACTGCAGTGCACTTGCCGTGGCGTAATGCCTCAATACAGCAATCGGTCACGTAAGCATAACATTATATGCGCAACGTATTTAATTAAACAAAGAATGGGCACATCTTTTATTTCGTGCACCAAAAATAGATCATTGCTGGCGACCTGAACGCCAAACATCAAGCTTGGGGCAACAGTCGACGCAAACAAAACGGCATCATCCTGAACAACGACCTGCAGGAAGCGCAGTGCAACATCTTGAGCCCGGACACTACCAACCGGTTGTGTCGGTCCGGTGTTCACGCTACCATCGATATAGTCATCAGCAACATGGGCAACGGAGGAGGTCGAAGTTGGTTCCTCGGTGAACCAATTCGAAGCCTTCCGGTGCAACACCATCGTGTCAATCAATATCAACACTGCGTCGATACAACCATCGACTACGATGTCCACCCGGAGACGTCCGAAGATGTTGATAGGTGTCTTCAATATCCTGGGCCAGAAAACAACACGTGCCAGAATCCAGACAGGTGAGTAACACTCTGAACCTTGACAACCCTACCAAAGAACTCATTCGACTCCGTAACACCATTCATAGTGCCTGCCTAACTTGAAGATCAATTGTAATCGGTCAATTGTTTAGGCCAGGATGGTGGATTTAAGAAATAACGATTTTGCCAATAAGATCCGTTCTCTCCCAGGTTGTGCAAACCCTTTCTGGAAACTAACAAAAATACTGAAAAGTAAGCCAACTTGTGCCGTTGAATCAACCCAATGATTCAGGTGATGCTATAGGTCAACACTTTGTCAGCTCTCATAATCTCGGACTGAACATAGCAAGTCAATGCGATACTGCGGTTGCTTAAAATACAGCCAACCCAACAATTTTCTTGTAGAATCCGAGATTACGGCTGACGAATTGTTGGCCTAAATCAAATTATCTAAAATCATGAAGGCATGGTTTCGACCAAATTTAAAATCTTGAACTCAAACACTTGAGTTCCAGATTCTTCATATAACTGGAACTGACTTTTAATCAGTGCCTTAGACTTGGCTACTTCCCCTCGTGCTGGAAGTTAGGTTAAGTCATCCCCATTCGGAAGTCTGGGAAAGACCCGGCCTCTCCTTCAAATATTCGACCCATCAGCCTTCTCTCGGGGTTATCTAAGCTGTTCGAAAAGGCTGTCTGCCCCCGGCTTTCGTAAAGGGCACTCGACTGTTCACCAGCTGACTCGGGTGACAACCATTCTCAAACAGAACAAGTCTGTATCCAAAACATCTGCTATGACATTGTTGGACGTTGAAAAAGTGTTCGATAATGTCTGGCACGATGGCCTGGTCTACAAATTGCAGCGATACGGTCTTCCAATCTTCCTAGTGAAGATCATAAAAAACTATCTCTCGGACAGGACATTCCGAGGCTTTCTGAATGGCATCACATCGGATGCCTTCAACATCGGTGCGAGTGTTCCACAAGGAAGGATCCTTGGACCCATCTTGTTCAACCTGTTCACCTCTGATATGGCGGCTCTCCCTGATCGTGGATCGTTGTCCCTGTTCGCAGACGACACATCCATCATCTATAAGGGAAGGGTTATTGGAGCTCTGACCGCCAAACTTCAGAGAGGACTGGATGACCTGTCTGATTATATCAACAATTGGAAGATCCGTATACAAAAAAAAGTCAACGGTAAATCTGAATCAGCCGGAAAAATCACTAGGAAGTTAATGAAGAATACGTTCAAGTTTTGACATAAGAATAAAATAAAAGGAATGCTGTATTTCTCTTACATTATGAAAATCAACTTTGTTTATTTATGCGAGACGATCTAATGAATAGAATTCATTGTTCACGCAATTTGTGTTCTCCAATTATTAGTTGTAATATAAATTTGCCTCAAAATGGTCGACTGGCTCTCAGTGATGCAAAATATCATGACACTCACGTGACACTCATCTACGCACCAACCGACTATCGCTGACAGAACGTTTTGTCACGCAGTGAGAGGTGGCAAACAACAATCACAAGTAATGGTCGCTGTTAACAAGCACGTAACACTCGCTGATGATGATGACAAGCACAACGAAAACAGTGAAGACTTCTGCAGTACGATCATAAGAAAAAGTGAAACGACAGAATAAAATGAAAACAATGCCTATGCATTCCAAGCTCGTCTCGACAGGCGCAACTGTGTGAGTTACAAACAAATCAGGCAACATGAAACGGAAGCTGTTGGGATCACTCACCAACACACTCACATAAGCAAGCAAAGCAGCAAGTGCTTCAAAACAAGCACAGATGAGAGTCGTGATTGTCGGGAATGACCAGATCGGTGATGGATCAACACCGAAGACGACATTCACCAGTTGCTTTTTACTTCTTTCGTCAACTTGATGGATGGTCATGGAGAGAGCTTCGACGAGCACATTGAGAGGAATGTACAAAGCGTTACTACCATCAGCTGTTTGACGATCGTGATTGTGATAGGTCGCAACTCTACTGGCTCTGCTTTTGCCTTCCTTCCACGCTGCTTCGGGACCACCTGCTTCAATAAAAGCTCGTAGTAAGCTGTATTTTTCACATACTTCAGCAGCTTGCGGAGATCTTCTAGTTTGGCTTGTGGTAAAGGTAACGGAGACAGTGTAATCGGTCCCGGAAGTGGTGGTACCCCTGCCGTTTTTGATTGGAACACGAAGGGTGAGTACGTCGATTCATTGACGTCATATTTATAGAAAACAGTTCTCGGCGAATATGTGCGGTATTGGAAGCGCATTTTCTGTTTGAATTTGCATGCTTCACCGTTATTGTTTATAGTGGGTTTAGTTCCTTGAGCCCCAAGAAATCTGACAGCTCAATTTCGGTTACACTGAACGGATTTTTTTCTGCGTATGCACTATGGAGGATTTCCAAGCAGGCGGACATCAATATTTCCGTCAGTTTTTCACAATTTCTGCAATTATTATTGCTTGATATACGTTGTTCCTAAACACTTTTCAACATTTCATGACCATGTTTAGAAAAGGGCTTAACTTTTGATTGTTTTAAATTTAATGATTACATTTTAATATCGCTCACAGCTTAAAGCTTGCATTCAGAAAATACAATTTATAGGAGAAAGACATTCAAGAATAACATGTGAAAAAGGCATATCAGCTAAAGGAAGCGGCATTTTCCTCTACCCGATACCGATCTGACAGATAAAATGAGGGGTTAGTGGATTTTCCTATGTTTCGAGGGGTGAATCGATTAGCTTGGGACCGAAGAGAGTACCAGAGCTGAGCCAAAAAGTTGAGCACGTTTCTTTGGGACCTACTAGTCTTAGAGTTACCTCTATGGTTATACATTGATGACTACAAAATGTTTTTTGTTTTTGAAAAATTCAAAATGGCGGCTTCAAAATGGCGGATCTCGTCGGCATTTGCGCACGAAACAATGTCCCCTGCTGTCAATTGTAGGGCCTTCTGTGGTAAATTGAAATGAGTAACTGTCATATATTATGAAAATACATAAAATTTCCTACGGCATATACCTAACCTAAGCAATTTTTTAAAGAAAAAAAAAACTTACTTTTTAGACATTAAAAATAAAAGTAAATTTTTTCTCTTTTTTTTTTTACTTTGATCTCGTTTAAAAATTATAAAAAAAAACAATTTTTCATGCCAATAATAGGTATAAGCCGTAAAGAAAAGTATTCACTTTAAAACTATGTTTGAATGAAGTGAATCGGATGAATAAAACAAGACTTATTATTGACAAGAGTTCTCAAAACATGGTTCAGAGAAAAACGCGTTTTAAGTTTTTGGCGTGACATGGGTCCGTTCGAGACGCTCTAACTCGAAAAATACGTATTGTTTCGGAATATCCTTTGACACATTTATTCTACACATGTGTAGTTTTCATTTTATGTAAAAAAAAAAATCGATTTTTTCGACAAAATCTAAATGAGCCTCCCCTTAAGCCACTTCTGAAAATACGAATCAAATCGCTCTTTCATGCGATTATCTACATGCCACTTTTTATTGTACTGGCGCTTTGGTCAGAGAGTATTAGAGAGTGACTGCAGTTAGATCAAAAGAGCCTGAGAAAAATGCAAGTACCTGAAGCTGCGAAAGTGAACATATAAACTGTTCATGGAAATCGCTTTTAACGGTCAATTTAAATGTTTCTTAATTGGTAGTACCGCCACCGACTTGTGGCGCACATAATTAATTCACTTGCTTTTGACGTTTACACACTACAGCCATCTGTTGAGTGTATTGCCCATCACAGTGTATACGACAGATGGCGGTCAGGTTTTCAATGAGAAATGTTCAATGTGTTGTGACTGTTTGTCTGTGATATAAGATTGATGTAACGTTAGGATAAAATAAAAATATTGAGAAAAATAACGCCACTTTCAGATATACTTCACTTCGCCAGCAATGAACTATTGTGACGGCCATATGAGTACCCAATTAAAGGGTGTTTGACCGTCAGTGGTCAATCTATCCCGTTGACATTTTTTTTTGGAAAATTAAAATATTTTTGCACATCCCTATAATTTTCATTTCTCGATGAACCCTTGGAGATAGTCAACGCTTTTCGATGTACTACTAGCCGGGGTTTACTTTCTCTTTCTATGCGTATCACTCCGAATTGGTAGCCAGTACAAAAGGTGAAATATGATGATGCTTCCATAGAAACGCGCATACACACATGGGAGCTCGAAAACAAAATTATCATCAACTGAAGTCGGCTGACCCGTTCAATGTGCAGCAGTTCGGAACGATATAAAAGCAAGCTGTTCTACCTCGAATGGACATCAGTTCCATTTCTTCTTTACACACCGTTGATCGTTGCACTATTCTACGGGAACCTTCCTCGCCGACATCAAGATGAAATTATTCATTGCAGTATTCGCTCTGATCGCAGTGGTAAGTATCAAGATCTGTAATAATTTAAAACAATCAATCACCATTTTTTTTATCTCGTAGGCCGCTGCCGAATTCACTGTCTCAACCACCGAGGACCTGCAGCGTTTCCGTACGGAATGCGTTACATCGCTGAACGTTCCAGCTGAATCGGTGGAGAAATTCAAGAAATGGGAGTTCCCCGAAGACGACATGACCATGTGCTACATCAAGTGCGTGTTCAACAAGATGCAACTGTTCGACGACACCGAGGGACCACTGGTAGACAACCTGGTCCAGCAGTTGGCTCACGGCCGTGATGCCGAAGAGGTCCGAACGGAAGTCCTGAAGTGCGTCGACAAGAACACCGATGACAACACCTGCCATTGGGCGTTCCGTGGATTCAAGTGCTTCCAGAAGAACAACTTGTCGCTGATCAAGGCAAGCATCAAGAAAGATTAAGTGCAATGCTGTTGAGATTCTTCGGGCTGGAACGATAAGGTGATTCAATTGTCGTGAGATTGAGTGGAGAGGAAATGTCTGTTGAGAGTTTAATTTGGAATAAATGGAAGTTTTGTTGGTGATTTATTGAAAACAGCGTTGTTATTCGATTGCTACAACATGCTAGAATCCCCTTCTTTAAATATTCGTTCCATTGGAAAAAGTTGTCTGATTCTTTTCTTCGGATAATGGGGATTTTTAGAGACTCCTACCAAGTTGGATGAGTATGAAAGAAAGTCGTATGTACTGCTATTTTCGAACTCCAAAAACTGCATCACAAAGGCAAGGCCTATGACCATTAGCATCTTTCATTTCGTCTTATTCTTGTTGCGCAATCAAGAAGCCAACTCAACTCAATTCGGTGCAATATACATTGATCTAAAACCTGCTGAATAGTTCTAAGAGGTCATACACGAATTATGTAAGGGTTTTTGAATGATTATTAGACTCCCTCTCTCCCCTTGTATGATACTATAAGATTTAAAGAAAGCCTCCTCCCCTCTTAGTAAGATTTCTGAGTTAAAAAAAAGTTAAATATTGTGTTGGGAATATTTTTAAACAACAAATTAACAGTTTTTGATGTACTCAATCAGGTTTTCTGGCACAAAGCGGTACCCACGCAACACATTAGTTCTATAACAGTTTAAATAACCTTTGTATGACTGGTTTTGGTTGTTATGAAGTTTAGTCATCATAATTCCCTGAATAAGTGTTACTTAGATTAAGATCAATTTCTTCTAACCATTATATCTGTGTGGCATATATTAGCGCTAGTGTAAGCAGGTCTTAACTTGACGCTTAACGAGTCAGCAAGCCGTGTGGGCAGCCCTCCGTTGTAAGCGCAACAGTTCAATGTTGGTAAACGGAGGTCTCTATGGCAACGCTTCATAAACACACACGGGCAACTCTCTACTCACTTTCGGACCAGCTCTTCTCAAGGTACACGCTATTTTGAATCTACCAAGTGACTGGGTAGATGGCACCCATTCTTGTATTCAGTAAGGAGTTGTCAAATTCTGGGTAAGCTAGTTTTGTTCTCATGAGTAGAATCTACCCAGATTCTGGGTAAATAGTTCTAATCGAAATTTTCCAAAGTCCAGACCAGACCAGTGTACTCTTGACTTCGTCAAAGCGCGTTTGCTCAGTGAAAGTGTAAAACGGGAGCATTATGACGATGCAGACGGAGGTGAATCAACGGCGTTCACCGGTAAAAGTGCCAAATCAAAGCTAAAGTGTTTTTCGTGTGGGAAGCTGGGGCACAAACGGTCAGAGTGCTTTCAGCGGCGCGAGTTCGATGGCGCAAAGCCGAAAAAGAAGGAAGACAGGTAACGTTTTGTTCGTTCCGGGTTGGACAGCTTGGTATGGAAGTGATTTTTTTCAAAAAACACTGCGGTGATCAAGCGAAATGGATCGGATCGACTATATGAACTGAACGTTGACGTTAAGAAAGCAGTGAACTCCGAAGTGCTAGTGACACAGAATGCAATTGACAATGCTGAGCTGTGGCACAGAAGATACGGTCACATTGGGAAGAGTGGTTTGGCGAAGCTGATCCGTGAAGATTTGGTGAAAGGATTATCCCTGAAGAAAGAAGCTGTGCTCAGTGGCGGCGTGTGTGGTCCTTGCATGGAAGGCAAGCAGACACGCAAACCCTTCCAGAATTTGGCGCTTCCCCGGAGCTCTAGACCTCTCGAGTTGGTGTATAGCTATGTTTGCGGTGCGATGTCCCCGGCTTCATGGAATGGTAAGCGCTATTTCGTTACTTTCACGGATGATTTCACTCATTTTTGTGCAGCTTACATCCTAAGCACGAAAGATGAGGTGTTTGATTGTTTTAAAACCTATGTAGCCATGGCAGAGACCCACTTCGATACCACTGTTAGTCGTTTGCGCTGCGATAACGGTGGCGAATACGTAGGTAAGGCGTTCGCCGATTTCTGTAGAAGCAAAGGGATACAGATGGAGTTCACGGTCCCGTATACCCCGCAGCAGAATGGGGTCAGTGAAAGGTTTAATCGCACCATTCTCGACAAGGCCAGAGCAATGATACCGGATTCCAGACTGGACCGGAATATGTGGAACGAGGCGGTATTGGCAGCCGTCTATCTAGCCAATCAGATTCCCACGGCTGCGGTGACAACGAATAACACGCCGTACGAGCTTTGGTACGGGCATAAGCCGGACGTATCGCGGATGCGGATTTTTGGAAGCAAGGCATACTGTCTCATCCCGAAGGAGAAGCGAGGCAAGCTAGAATCTCGCAGCAAGGTCAGTTATTTCGTTGGATACGGCGGCGGAGGGTACCGTCTGTGGGACGGCAAGCAGATTTTCATCGCTCGTGATGTCGTGGTGTAGGAGTTAGCGATTAAACAGCGGATCGTCGATTGTGGTTCCGAGGTTCAAGAAGCTCCCGTTTGGAGTGAAAATCACGGTCAGTTGGCTGGACCTTCTTCGTCGAGAAGCGTTGCTGATCGTGAAGAATCCCAACAAGAGGAGAGCTGTCCTGGAGGTGAAGAAGAATCTGATGATGAAGCGGAGGATAGGTCGTTTGAAGAGGATCGTGGTGCACCTGAGGAGGGGAACGGTGATGCAGAGGCAGGTCTGCGTCGCAGTGAGCGAGTTCGGAAGCCTCCTGCGAAGCTGAACGATTAATTGTGCATCGCCTATGCGCTTAACGCTGAAAGCTACGTCGAAAATATTCCGAATACCATCGAAGAGCTGCAGAAACTGGAAGATTGGCCGTAGTGGAAGCTTGCCATAGATGAGGAGCTGAATTCACTGGCCGAAAACAACACTTGGCAGCTGGTGGACTTACCGGCTGGGCGCAGGGCAGTGGACTGCAAGTGGGTTTTCCGACTCAAGTTTGGCCCAGATGGGTCCGTTCTGAAGCGAAAAGCGCGTTTAGTCGCTAAAGGCTTCACACAGCGTTTCGGGTTCGATTTTTCGGAAACTTATGCGCCTGTTGTTAAGATGTCCACCGTTCGATCGATGCTTGCCCTTGCCAACCAGTTTGATCTTGTTGTCATCAAATGGACGTGACGTCCGCCTTCCTCAACGGAATCCTGACGGAGGACATCTATATGCGTCAACCAAAGGGATTTGAGGAGGGGGATAAGGTATGCAGACTCAACAAATCCATTTACGGATTGAAACAGGCGTCCAAGGCGTGGAACGACCGCTTTAATGAATTCATTTCACGGTGTAGTTTCCGTCGATGCGAGGAAGATAGCTGTCTGTACGTTCGAGTAGGCAAATCCGGTCCAGTGTACCTGCTGCTCTACGTGGACGATGTTCTGATCATCACGAAAAATTTAGACGAAGTGAAGACGGTAAAACGGATGCTGAGAATGGAATTCAAGATGCAGGATCTCGGTGAAGCTCAGATGCTCCTGGGTCTTCGGATTGATAGAGATTGAGAAAAAGGTGTAATGAAGCTGAGTCAGCCGAAGTACGTGGATGCTGTGCTGAGACGCTTTGGCATGGAGGAGTGTAAGCCGTCGTCAACGCCGATGGAACAGGGTTTGCAGCTGAAGAAAGCAGATACCAAGCAAGATCTGTGCAAACCGTATCGGGAACTGATCGGTTGTTTAACATATTTGATGGTTACTTCCCACCCAGACCTGAGTGCAGCCGTGTCGTACTAGCCAGTTCCAGTGTAATCCCGGAGAAGAGCATTGGAAGCACGCAAAGAGAATGCTTCGCTATTTGAGAGGAACGCTGGAATACGGGTTGTTGTACACCAGAAGCAATCGAGCTTGTCGTCAGATAGTGGGATTTGCTGACGCAAATTGGGCCACTGACATCAACGATCGACATTCTGTCTCCGGATACCTGATCCAGATCTACGGCGCTACAACAGCATGAAGTACCAGGAAGCAGCGGACGGTGGCACTTTCCTCGACCGAGGCCGAGTGCTATGCATTGGCAGATTGTATTTGCGAAGTCTTGTGGATAAGTAAGCTGTTCGTAGAGTTGGACATTCGTGAACGTCAGCCTGCGGAAATCTTTGAAGACAGTCAGTCCACGATCGCCATTGCCGAGTCAGATGGCTCATCCAAGAAGCTCAAGCATACCGAAGTTAAATTACATTTCATCAAGGAGTGCGTCCAAGAAGGTAAGGTGAATTTGTGCTACATCCCGACAGCCGACATACTCACCAAGGGCCTTTCGCCGGTGCCGTTTACCAAGCACCGAATTTTCATGGGAATCAAAGCGTGACTTGTTTGAAGAGGGGTGTGAAGAGCAAACTATTCACTGGGTAAATCCCAAGAGTTAAATTGGTGATTGAACTTAACCGTGTATATTTTGACAAATAAATTCAGTCTGTACTTGTTAATCGTATGTACCACAGGTGTTTATTTTCGCTCTCGTCGTGTATCACATTCCCTCGTTCGGCTTATACCTTATTCGTCTCAAGACGACGCCATTGCTAGAAAAAAAAAACTACCAAGGCAGGGCAGGGCCTTAATCGCTTCAAAACGACGTCATTACAGAAAACGCAAAATCTGCCTAAATCGTTTCGAAACAATGCCACTGCCAAAACGAATATGCTAAATCTGCCTCAATCGTTTGAAAACGACGCCATTGTTTGAGAAGCTATTGAAAGATCACACGAAAACGGTAAAAAGCAGCACTGTGCGACGCCATCAAATGAAAAAAAACCTTAATTGTTTTAAAGTGACGCTTTTGCAAAAAAAAAAAAAAAAAACAATTGGCCTTAATTGCTTGTAAATGAGGCCACGATCCCTATTACAAAAAAAAAATTAAATAACGCATAGGGTTTTTGATCTAATTTCCGTCCTACTAAGCACAACCCGCACTCTCTTTTCTGAAAGTGGAATATTTATGTCAAAGATGACTTCTAAATTTATCCACCTTTCCAAACGTACCGTTGGTTTTGATAAAGAGTTTTAAAAATATTGAGATTTTGTTAAAATCTAACACTGCTTCTTGATTCTAAATTCATCCTACGAG